TTGATCAGTTTATAATAACTGATTTTCGATGCGTCGATATCAATTAAAGCGGAAAGAACATCGCATATGGGGAAGGGGATAATATAAATATTTACAACATAAATGTAAATGTTTCTTACAGTTTTTAAAAATCTTGTTCTGTCGTTGGAAACATTATTTGTAGCGAGCATAACAGCTACAACAGTTCAAAGCAATATATGTACAAGTTGTTAATTAAAAACTATCAGACAATGAAAGACGGAAATCAAAATGAACAAAATAATGATTTACATGAAAGAAGGAAATATGCGTGCAATATATGCAAAGCATGACAAAATCATATGCATATTGTACAGAAAAACAAATGACAAAGGCATAAAGTTCTTCTCAAATTAAATACATGTACGGAGGACTACGAGCTGACACCAATTGTAACTATTACTTTCTCGTTTGTATATTATATTAGTGGAATTTACTTCATATATATGTTACATTTAATTTGACATGTAAATCTACATCAGAGAAATACTACAAAGCATGTATAGTGACAGAAGAAATAATGAGAAAAAGTTCAACAAGTTGACACTGTGGTTCAACTAATTGTAAATTGACAAATGTACCGTTGCACCTTCAAAGAAAGCATTTTGTTCTTTTTTACTTGATAAAACCTTGTAAATAATGAAAATGAAATTACAAACATCTGAATTTTTGTTACTGGAAATTGTGTGTTAGGAGAATGGTAGTTTGGATTTTCTTTTGGATACATGTAAGCCTTATAGAATCTGTAGGAAGTTTAATGAATGTAGAAATCATTGGAGGTAATCAAACATTGCAAGCACACGGAATAAAAGTGACGTCTTCACACACAGGTAAGATCGCAATATTTCAGATTTCATTTTAACCGCACACAAGTTTTAACTTCCGACTTCGAAGCACAATAGGTATTTGTGACCGTATATAACTTTCAACACTCGTACTTTATGTTTGTTTCAAGCCGACAGACAGACGTTGTCTGTCCCTTTTCATTACTTAAAAAAAGCAACAACAAAAAAATAAACAACCCAATAAAACTCAAACCTGAATCCTAAACACAAAGTGAGTAGCAATTAAAAAAAAAAGAATAAAAAAAAAATCGTCGGCACTGCGGCATATTTGATATCAATCCACAACTATTACAAAGGCATGTATCAACCACAACTATGACAAAGGTATGTATCAACCACAACTATGACAAAGGCATGTATCAATCCACAACTATGACAAAGGCATGTATCAATCCACAACTATGACAAATGCATGTATCAATCCACAACTATGACAAAGGCATGTATCAATCCACAACTATGCCAAAGGCATGTATCAATCCACAACTATGACAAAGGCATGTATCAATCCACAACTATGACAAAGGCATGTATCAATTCACAACTATGACAAAGGCATGTATCAATCCACAACTATGACAAAGGCATGTATCAATTCACAACTATGACAAAGGCATGTATCAATCCACAACTACGACAAAGGCATGTATCAATCCACAACTATGACAAAGGCATGGCCCAATTAGACTGATACACAAAAGGATCAATTAGGAAGGTCTGGATTGGGGGTAGGGTCGTTAATTTCTGTATTCTTAAAAATTGTGGGGCATTTTTATCTATCTTTTGAAATAACTCATATTCTGTAAAATTCTCATGAAAATGATTTTATTATTATTTTGTTCTGTAATTATATGATTTCTTTATTCTATACATCGTTTATTTCTGTAATCAGTATTGTATTACCTAATATTCTTTTATTCTTATACCTTTGCACCCTATTCAATTTCTTTTGCTCATTTTTCCCTATTCATTTTTGTTCTTGTCATTCTTCTCTATTCTGTAAATCCCATCCTGGGCTGATATGCATAAAATCACTAAGGTTAAGATCTCCAATCGTAGTACTAATTTATCTTAGGTCATGTGGAAAAATTCGTCCTTTCGGAACAAATCTTAACTTTTAATCTTATGCATATCAGCACAGATCCTTAATTATAGGTACTTTTCCGTGATCTTGTGTACTTCTTATATTTGATCTCATCGACGATGATGAAACCGCCTCGGTGGTCTCGTGGTAGCGTGTTCGCCTCGAGCGCGGGAGGTCGTGGGTTCGAATCCCGGCCGGGTCAAACCAAAGACTTTAAAATTGGTAATTGATACTTCTCCGCTTAGCACGCGACATTAAAGAGTAAGAGCAAAGACTGATCGGCTCGGAGTCAGAACAATGTGTTCGGGTAAGGTGATATGTCTTCCTGCGGATTGTTACCTTGTGAACTAGCACGTTAAAAATCCGGCTCAACGTGTCGGTCTAGTACAAAACAGTGTTTCTATTCATATTACATTTACAAATTCTCGTCCTGAATATGCATATTAATTTGCCGCTGGACGTTAAGCAGCTATCCATATCCATCATCATCGACGATGATGGAAATAAAAGGTGATATAGACAGATTCGAGAATTCAGGTTCACTTTAGCAATTAGACGCAAAATGAATGCAGGAACAAAAGAAAAATATGCCAATTACATTCCGAAAACAGATTTTATTTTTCTGTAGCACAACATTCATTTACCTTTATATATCTAGGGGGATGCTAGGCCTTAAACCATTCCCAACTACACAGGTTTGTCTGTACATTCAGTAGTTTATGAGGTTTCAACACGGTCATTTTTGTCAAAAATTATGATAAACCCGAAATGAAATGATAGTAAATCCGTTTTGTGTCGGTGAATTAATGATGCCCTTCTGAGAACATTTTATCTGGTAACTACCACATGTATTTATAAATCTTTTTGCGTCTTTCAATCTTGTAAAAGTTTAGCTTTCAGCAACAAATTATCATTGCATCATCATTTTCATTATTGCTACCAGCCAATCATTTTATTTATAGGTGAGGATGGGTTGGGATGGATTAATTATTTTTTGTAAAGTATGCTTATTTCCCAATTTTATTTTATTTCACAGTTTATAATTTATATTCATTTCAATTCAATTTTTTAATACTTCAAGCAAAAAATTCTCATCAGCACAAATAGACATGAAAAAATAAGAAGGTAACTCTAATTACTTTTCATAAAAATAAAATAATCATTTTCCATCTTTCTCATTTAAAACCAAACGAAATTCCTTTTTTTATATTTCTTGGAGATTAATAAATTCGATATTTCTTATTCTCATAGCAATATTTTGTGCAGACGGTAATATTCGTGGTTTATAGTATTTCCTATTTTTTAACACTGCCAGACGTAATGATGATAATCAAATGGGAATTATGATAACGAAACTTTTATCGAGACCAAAACGTAAACATATATAAAAATTTTCTAAATGGTTTATGAAGATCGTTGACTTCAAAGGCCAGATATAATTCTTGAAGTAATTTAATGTTATTTGGAGAGCTTTGGAAAATCAACAGTTACTTAAGAACAAAAAAAGATTTTTTTATTATATACAAATGTCGATCCAGCCAATCTTAAGAATTTTAAGGTACTAGATAGGTCATTCCAATAAAGATGTATGGCCAATTACCCTGTATTTATTTCACAAACAGGGTCAACAATTAAAAAAAATGTTTAAACGGATTATCAAAGAGTCTAAATAAATACACATTGAAAAATTTTTCTTAATAAAATGCTAATATTACACTTAATATATATAAATTCAAACGCGATCAGTGCTATACATTGTTGTTGAAGACAATTTCGTTAAAATATCGCAATTTTTAAATTAAATTTCATGCAAAACGTTTCATACGGCAGAGAGCATCACTCAAAATTAACATGCGAGAAGAGGCAGTCAAAATTTGTAAAAATTTGTATCAACGATTTTGCAAAATATTCATAAATTTGTCCTCTAAACAAAATTTATTACTTCAAGCCTGCGAATTTAACAGAAAAGAGTACAATTATGGTCAATTAAATAAACTCTTGTAAATGATTGTTACTACAAGGCAGTACCAAGTAAAGAATGCAAGCAATGTCACAATACTTCACAAAAGTATTAGTGTTTTCAATTTTTGTAATCAGTTCTCACTATTCCCAAGTACCTGAGAACCGTTGTTTTTTTTTTTGGGGGGGGGGGGGGGTACTTTGTTGCCGCTCAATTCTTTGTGAAGTGTATTGTGGTTTGTTCTCTTTTCATCTTTAGTTAACTCTTTTGGTTATGGTGTCATAAGCCATTCGACTAATGATATATGTTTGCCATTTTGGAGATAACTGTATTGTATTTTAAGCTCCGACGGCATCAATTGGTGATTTGATAGTCGCAAATACCCGTTTACAGTCTCCGCGTTTTAAGCTCCGACGGCATCAATTGGTGATTTGATGGTCGCAAATTAACTTTACTGGCGACGCGTTAGCGGAGACTGTAAACGGGTATTTGCGACTATCAAATCACCAATTGATGCCGTCGGAGCTTAAAATACAATATCGTTATAACAATTCTAATGAAACTGACAGAATATAACGTCAAATCATACATTTAAAATCTGCCATACGTCGTCTGCGCTTGCGCCTACGTTTTCATAGCATCAATTGTGAATTGATGCCATGAAAATTGGTGACGTTATCCAATCAAAATGAACGCAAACGATGTTGCATTAGAATTCGGTACCCCCTACAAGGTGGCTGACTTAATGTTATTTCTATGATACAGGTTCATGCACATTCATCTTTATTGTATAAACAAAAACGAAAGACACAATATTGCTATGTACATCACATGTTTCTTTATTAAGCCTCAGAAGCCTTTAAGGCTAAATGTTTGATATAAAAACAAATTATGTACAAAACACTTTGAGATTGAACAAAAAAGAAAAGAAGGATTCATTAATTTAGTGACATCATCGGTTTATCAACCCTCTTCATGAAAGTACAGTTATTCAAATCCATGGTTTTGCTGTTTTTAATACATTACTGTATTAACAATTTTTACGCTCTAAACTTTAATCATATTTAATTCGTATTTTTCCTTTTTCTTTTAGCTACTAGATCTTTCAGGAAGTTAATACTGAGTGTTGAGCCAAATCCTGCCTTAATTCATATCAACGCCCCTCGAGGTACCCCAATTCTTTCCATCACTGGTTACGATGCCGCTACTGGACAACGGCTAGAACAAGTACAGATAACCAATACACCTGATGCTAAATATTTCACTCTCAAAGACCCAGTAGCTGGAGACAACAAGTGGTACTTATACTCAAAACAGTTCATGAACAAACCACTAAATTATGTATTTCGATTTCGTGTTTACGGGACTCATCAAGGAACTGTACAAGACCGGGAGATTAAAATAAAAGTCAGTAAACCCAACTTATATCCACCGGTCTTTGAAAACCAGACGTATGAATTTATCGCTTACAGGAAATCAGCTGATTTGGATATCCAACTTGTCGGAACTGTGAAGGCGAATGACGCTGATTTTGAAATGTACAATTCAAAATTTGATTATTTTATTTTTGATACACAGGTCTTAGGACTGTTTAATGTCGATTCTTCAGGAAAGGTTATCATTGTATCAAAACAAAATTTTCCAAGCAATGCAGACTCTTACACTTTTAGCATTGTCGCCATTGATGCCGGTTCGCCCCAGAAAATGAGCAACATCACAGTAAATGTTAAAATCTCAGATATTCCACGTAAGTAGATAGTTAACCAGTTAGAAAAATAAATTACTAAGCAAATTAGATATATAATGTATGAATAAAAACATCCAACGATTATCCAAACCTACATATACATGTTTCGAGTCTTTATATCGGTTTTGGTAATTTTCATAAAAGGACTGTTTGAATATAAATTCAGTTTTAGAACGGGAGCCTATCAAAATCTCTGCTCCGCGTTCAAGTGAACAAGGATCCAAGGCTATTAGGATAAATATTCTGTTAAGAAAGCATGCACATGTTTCTCGTTAACACCTCGGATAAAATAACAAAAAACAAAAAAACCCTCTATTCCCTTGTTTGTCATGTCCGTTTCCAAGTGAATCGTGACGATGAGAACACAGACAGCGACCCCGTCAATCTTATTCAAATACAGACCTGTGTCAACGCTTCGCTGGCACAAATCGTAAAGAAAGGATTAGTATTTTAATCGGACATCGATCATATCTATTATAATCTACAACCTGCTACTACTAATGTTTATGTTTACACCAGACTACCAGAATGGCATTACTGACAGAATTTCTTCTTTTGGGTCTTTGAATACTGTAAAATGTTACTACAAAAATAAGAAGATGTGTTATAATTGCCCATGAGAAAACACTCCACAAAAGATCAAATGACATAGAAAGTTATCAACTATAGGTCACCGCGCAACCTTTAACTATGAGCGAAACACATACCGCATAGTCAGCTATAAAAGGCCCGAAATGACAAACGAGAAAACTAACGGCCTGATTTATGTACAAAACAATGAACGAAAAACAAATATGATATGAAGCAACAAACGACAACCACTGAATTACAGGCTCCTGACCTGGGACAGGCACATACAAAATGTGTCGGGGTTATACATCTTCGGAGGCTCCAATCCTCCCCTTATCTGGTTACTAGTTTATTTTCACTTCATATGTAGGTCGCTATTCTAATGTCTTCACAGATGTCGGATGACAACGCTAAGATTTGCACTTTGAACATTTTTTTGTAAAAGATTTCGGTCAAACTTATATTCACAACTGGGCGAGACGATCAGGTCAAAACTCTCTGACACAAACATTCAGAAAAAACCCACGTCTTAATCGGATTAACGTTATGGATGCGTCGGCTGTTGCCAATTTACCGTACACTTTCTATGGAACAAAACTTTTATATATTGACTGAAGACGATTTACATTGCGATATGTCAATTTGTTATTAAATAAAGTTTTCATTAAATGATTTATATTAAAACCGTGAATAAATTTGTCAGTTCTTGGTTGTTGACTTTTTGAAACAAGAGAAATTAAAGCTTTCCGGAAGAGATGTCGAACATTGATGAATGTGGTATTTTTATGGGGTAATCTACCTTTTAGATCAATTAAATTTCATAAGTTGCATAGTAAAAGAGGAATTATCAGTTGGAGATATTTGAGGTTTCTTTATTACGCCAACGAATTTCATTGACAAATTATCCCATTTTTAAACTTTGTCATTATACGTTTGTGTAGTTGATAAATAGTAGCAAAGAAAGTCGACAGGCGCTTTTGATGTCGTTATATATCCTTTAGTCATTTTATTCGTTCAGCTTGCATGTTTTTATATTCGTCAAGAAATTTATGTCCGCGTGTACGGTCAGAACGTCACTTGTCAGGAGTTTATAAGTAATAGATTTGGTCATACGTGTTGTGTACTAGGACACCGAGATAGGAAATCAAATATTTATCGATGGTCCGTACAACAAGCTACAATTTTCGTGAGAATTTCATCTTTATTGTTTGATATAACATATTGCGTTTTACATTCAAAATGAAATAACGTATTTGTTATTTTGGAATAATTTAAATTCTGTGGATTAAGATACTTGAATAAAATGCTCTCACTGACACTGACATTTTATTTCACTTTAGCTCCAGATATATTTTGCGTATCCGTTGAAGGAGTAAAAGCCAAATTCTGCTGGAAAGATCCAACACATGGACAGTTCGTTAACAATTACCAATTACAGTTTACTGTTAACGATAAGAACATAACAACACGTCCCGTCGCAATCCATGGGAAACGCAATGAGATCTGTACCAGTGTTAGTGGACAACACATGGAAAGATCCTACAGATTCACCGTACAAATCTTCAATGGAACTGATAGGAGTCCTGCAAGTGTTCAAAGATTTGTAAACATTTCAAAACCGGGTAAGTATAGGCATTTGAATATTTGAAGTAGTTTTTGTATTTATTTTAAACGTAAATATTTTGCTGTCATTGATTATTGAGTATTGCATACACCCAATAACAATGTGTGCGACAACAACAACAACAAAAAAAAAAACAAAAAAACCCCAGTGTAGTCAGAATTGGTAATTTCATTCACAGAGTCCACATTTACATGTTGTTGTATTTCAAAACAACTTTATAGTTATTAACTTTGGAGGCATATAACAATTGATGCATATGTATAATTACTGCGAAAGTTAATGCTTATCCATAGATTTGTTAAATGATTACCCAACAGGGTTTGACTGTCCCATTCTGCATCCTTTATGATTTTCAATCTCAGTAACATTATTATACAACATAATTTAAATGATAGAGGGTCTCGATGGCGGGTCCTTCAATTCTGTATTCTTTAAATTTTTAAGCCATTTTTCTCTATTCTTTTTTTAAATTTCGTCCATTATTTTTATTCATTATATCTTAGCACCCCATTATTGTCTATTCTTTATTTTGTTTGCCTAATTTTCTCTATTCTTTATATCTTATTCCGCACTTTTTGCCCACTTTTCTCTATTCTATAAACCCCATCCAGATCCTCATGATAGAATTTATACAGGAAAGTTTCCCCATTTTTACAAATAACAAGAGTAAAAATTCAAATATATACACAAAATTGCATTAGCGAGTCGGAGTTTCTAATTTTGAAGCTATTTCTGTTTAAATGACATCGTCACTTAGTTTTTCATCTTCACGAGTTACCTCCCATTTCTGGCATATTTTTAGTGCATTCCTTGTAAATCTGAATCCTTGCTGTACTGATTTTCTATATAGTATTACCAAAATGTATGGGTTTTTCAACGTTTAATTGTGTAGAAAGATCGGATATCTAATGTTAAACAGCATCGATATTTGTAAGATGTTTTTAAACGGTGTACCACTTATCTTAAGTCTGAAACATGTTCAGTGCATACAAAACGTGGTTTTTTAAAGTCCTTGACACTAAATGTTTGGTGGCCAAATAGAAAAAAAAACATATTAGAGAATGAAAACAAGGGAAACAAAAAAGTTTTTCTGAACGAAGCATATGCTTCGGTGCTTCTATAATTTTAGCAGTATTGTTTCCTTTAAATTAAAATGACAAGAAACATTAAAAGATGGTAAATTAGAAAGAATGAATACAATTTATGTAAATTTTTGTCGTCAAAAATGACATTTGATGTTTTATTTGATGTTTAATACATATGTATTGTCATTGAATAGTTTCCATTCATGTCTACAAAGACATATTTCAGTTTGTTTGTTATATTTCAAATATCTCTTACAAACAATGAAATATTTCAAAATGAAAAATGAAAAAAGGTTGTGAAAGTCATATTTTTGTACTTAAATCATAGCCGTATTTGTATAAGGATTATAAAAAATAACCCGGAGATCATGAATCATGTTTCTTGATAACTTTGTTCATACTGCATCAGATTTAGGATAGGTGATACGACACTGCTTCGTCATTCCTAAAGCTAAAGATAGCGGCTTTAATTTTCTGGTGTGATTTTTTTTTTGTGTACAATAAAATAAATTTGCTCTTCAAGCACAATTAATTTTAATGGTTTATCTTTTATCATAATAATCAGACAAGCACATGATCAATGAAAACATGTCATTTGCTACACACAAAAATATCACCTAATCTCAGTTGATACAGTTTTTTTTTACAAAACCGACACCTCCCTAAGGGACTGCTTAAAATTTTAGAACACATAATTCAACCTGGTTTTTGGTAGGGTTTTGTGAGTGTCTGGATTGGGGTCCTTCTTTTCTGTAATTTTTCAGGCCATAGTTCTCTATTCTTTATATTTTAGCACCTCATTATTCTCTATTCTTTATAATTTTTGTCCATTTTCTCTACTCTTTATATTTTTTGCCCATTATTCTCTATTCTGTAAAACCCCCATCCACACCCTCTTTTCATTTAGTATTTTCTGCACTGTCGTTCGTCTGCTCGTTTTGGCATGATGTTGTCTGTCCTTTGACTTACAGTTGTGGTTACCCCCTTGGTACATGTTCTTCTCCCATTTTTTTACTTACGTAGGTGAGGTTTTTTTTATTTGGACCGACCTGCTTTGTACATCCATGGCTTCGCATCTCCCAATGTGCAGAATAATCAATTGTGACTGAACATAAATCTTGGGTTTTGTGTTGGTTGAAGGTCACGGATGGGGCTACATAACTAAGTGGGAAATATTGTAACAAGCGAAAAGGAAAGGGGTTGCAAGTAATAAAGGGATATCGGAAAGGAAGGAACTAACGATGACCTAGAGAATTTCGGCTTTTTGTGAGATTAAATCAGAAAACCGAAAAGTCGTAAACTTTTTTTATTCATCCCAACACGTTGTTTTATCGTCCCATTTTTATTATTTTTTTTATTCAAACATAGTTGTATTTATCCAGTTCAACAATTCCAAACTTGTTTATTTCCGAAAAATTGAATTTGCTGTCGCTATTTGATTGTTTTAACTTCTTCCAACAGGTTTATATGGGGATTGTCTAAACTTTAGTAACTGCAGTATATGGAAGCCATGTAAACATGGCAAGTGTTTGACAAAGAAGGACATGTCGTATGAATGCGATTGTTTCCACGGATGGATTGGTAGAAATTGTACAGTTAAAGATCCATGTCTTCCTTCCCCTTGTATGAATAATGGACAGTGTACCAGGACAGAAAACAATGGATTCAAATGTCGATGTGCGCATGGATATTTTGGAAAATACTGCCACCAAAAGGACAGTTGTGTTGGTGATCCTTGTTTAAATGAAGGGTCGTGTTCATCAAAACCTGATGGAAGTTACGAATGTCATTGTCGACCTCATTTTACAGGGCAACATTGCGAGGTTACAGATCCATGCAGTCCTAGCCCTTGTAATCACACCGGTTTGTGTCATAGACTAACAAACACAGAATATGTGTGTTCTTGTTTACAAGGTTACTATGGAGATGATTGCGAAAATATAAATAAATGTGAATTACACAATCCATGCAAATCCGGTTGGTGTGTTCATATTGACCATAACCAATTCAACTGCACATGTTACAAAGGCAGTTCAGGGAAATATTGCAATATAACAGACGACTGCATGATAAATACGTGCAAAAACGGTGCGACGTGTGTTCCAGTTCACGGAAATAATGTCAAGAAATACGACTGTCAATGCAGCCGTGGTTACCATGGGGAAGAATGTCAGCATTATGATCCGTGTTCGAGCAATCCTTGTCAGTTTGGCGGAGTCTGTCGGGCGTTGTCCGACCAACTTTACCGTTGTGAATGTAAACAGGAGAGATATGGAGAGAATTGTCAATTTGTAGATGGATGTAAGATTCACAAATGTGGCAAAAATATGGTTTGTCAGAACACATCATTGACTGGCGCTGTTGAGTGCTTGTGTAACTCTTCGCCCTGTAGACAAGGTGGAACGTGCACAATAGGCTATAATTCTCAACCGTATTGCAAATGTAAGAGCGGTTACAGCGGCACATCGTGCGAGAGGTCATGCACTCGTGATTCTTGCCTGAATGAAGGCACTTGTGAAATAATAGATGGATCTTATGAATGTGTTTGTCCAGATAATTTCTTCGGAACACGATGTGAGAATTATGATTTCTGCAATGCTACCAGAATGTGTATTCGTGGTGCTAGATGTCAACTAACACAGAAAACCTACCATCACCTAATAGTGATTAACCAAACTATGACGGCCAATGTGACAAATTGGTACACATGTTCTCATTGTCCTGTAGGTTATACAGGTAAGCTAATAGTTATTCTATACATTTTTTTCGAATAAAATTCTGGAATAGTACTTGTTATAGACTACTGTGCTTTTCTCGATGATCTGTCCGTCCTTGCATTCATCAGTCTTTAAGATAAAGTCATCTTTTGTTAGTTTTATTGTTACGAATTGTCGAAATTGAATTTCAAATTAAATTTCAAATTTTGCTAAAAAGGAACGAATTTATTTTCAAATTATAAAATTTGTTACATGTATGTTGATTTTTATATAGCATTGTACAGTGCCATGTTTAGATACTAGTATGGACTATAAAATAGAATTTGAATTTTACAAAGGTCCATTTTTTTTAACATACATGTAATTGCAAAAAGAGAAAAACATCTTCTGCAGTGCAAGGGTGACAGCCTTTAATTCTCATCATATTATTCAATTTCAAAATTTTTACAATTAATACACCGAACATTGACTGTTCATGTTGTTTTATAAGTAGTGTAGTTATACTTTTTAAAACGTGTTCCTTGCATATCTCTTTGAACTTTGAACTTATACTTTTGGTTTTAAGACATTTGTATAATCATTTAATAAGCTAGGATTTGAAATAGGAATAACTGAAAAGAAAAGTAATAGTGTTGTGTATCTTTGCTTTTAGTTTTAAAATGGGTCTATAGAATTTGAACAGGATATCATAAAAAAATATAAGGACTCTGAATTTCAAGGTCCAAATTAATCTAAACTTGCTTCTACCTGTGTGAAATTTATATTTTTATGGGAGTTTTAGTTTATTATTAGCATGTTTTTTCCATAGTTTATGGATGTGTTAAATGGACCAACTAACTCGAAATCGAATGTAAATTTTGTGAGAGAAAGCATTTTATGTAAAAATTGCTAGTGAATTGGTCACTTTACATATTTACTAAACTGTTACAACTTGTAAAAGATATTTCAAAAGTAGTAATTGTCAGACTGGATTTAGTCATTTGTAAGGGTCAATTTTCACTTTTTTTTTAACACATTTATTTTTTCAATGATAAATATATTGTTCATCATTGACATTTTAGTCAGACTAGTAAAAGGTAATTTAAAAGCTTTTTGTGCAATTTTATAAAGTCTTTTATAAAGAAGAAATAAATACATTACATGTATGTTTCATAAGAATTCGTGCTTTTGATTGGTTGAAGTACGGAGATATATCTAAAGTTGATTCTACCTTGCGAAATCAGTTGAGTGATCGTGCGCACTTTTATAGTATCAAAAGCTACCGCGCTTCGTACAAAATGAGATTCGGTCAACGCTTTTACATCCCAATAGAATTACAAAAAGAAGTATTTAATTCCTAAATTTGTCTTGTCAATCTTTATCAAAACTAAACTTTTAACATAGTTCTTCAGTTTGTTTTTGGTAAAACGTATAAATGATTATTTTCTATTTTATGCCACTATTTAGTGTCGATTGGTAGCATGGTAGGAAAGCAATTTGTATCTATGGAATAAGTACGTTTCAAACCCCCGCATTGCGTATGAATCAACCATGACTTGTAAGAGTCATACAGCTCTTTTGAAATAACCCTAAAATTGCACTCCTGTATTGCCATTTCGATTGGTGAATTTTTAACCTTTTGGGTTCCTTTTAAATGTTAATGTCTATGACCCAACCCTTTATTTGTTCATAAATCACACGTTCTTCCTTTTCAAGGTTATGTGAACTGTTAACTAAATCTTTCTTTATTATACAAGGTTTCTGTTCATGATTAAAGTCAGTAGCACCTAAATTTGACATTAAAAGCCCTATGTCTTGTCAGGTAAATAGAAAATAAAATGACGTTTATGCTGATTTCTATGATCAAACTGTGTGGTTTAGTTTCGCATAACTTATGGCGAGAGTATTCAATAGAACAGTTAAATACATAATATGACCTACTTAGATTTAATTTAAAATATTCTATAGCGTCAGAAGTAAAGTGGTACATAAACCTTTTATGTAAATTAAAAATTAAATATAAATCATTCAATCAATCTTTTTAAATTAATAGAAATTTTATGTTAAAACGTGTTTCCATTTAATCACACATGAGTTCATTTCCGGTTTCTTGAAAATAATTGGAATTCTTTTTTGAAATATTTATTGATGTTATATGTGTTTTCTGCAAATAAGCAGTTAAAGAGTTATACTAGACTTGAAAGTTAAGTGATTCAAGTTCACTGGAAATGAATGTACAGATTATGCTTGAAATTTCTACTCGAAACAAAGATTTAGCCGGGATCCCGCGTTAGATACAGATACCCAGTTTGCAAGAGTTGACTCCTATCAAACACTGGAAAAGTTTAAAGAAAGCTTTTAGAGAACGAGGAACTATCAAATAATGCGTCTTGTTTGGTTAGGGTGGATACACAAGTATTACTATTTTTTTAAATTTCCTATACCAGAGTTTGAAACTTTATAGGTCAAGGTTCTAAATTTAAAATTACAAATATATTACATAGTTTAAATATGAAATACCAATACTAGTAATCATTTATTTATGAATACACCAAATACTTATCGATACAAATTGATATTTTGTTGAGAAAAGGGCAATATATAAACCAATTGCTTGCAGTCACAATAAGTCCGGTCCCCGCTTTTGTTTTTGGGTTTCAATTTAATTTTTGTGTGTGTTATTTTTGTTATGAGTGTAAAAGTTTTTTTTTCAGTAATAATCACTTTTGTACTAAGGTTTTATCTGATAGCAAAATCTCAGATTCTTTGATTCACGAATAAGTGAACGGTTTGAGTATGCTTCTTTTAAAAATAATACAATCTCTTAATTGACTTAAAATTGGACTAATGAACTGAAATTTCATGAAGCAATGCGCGTTGAGCTGAGGGAAAACGTATTCGTGTTTTTTTATACTACCCCTGGGTCGTTACCGTTGCTGATGGACTATCAGTACTCGAGGGTACCACCCACCTTGTTAAGACGCAGCTTCGGTATTGCCATGTTTTGAACCATACATTTTTGGAAAGTCATGAAATTACATAATAAAGGTTAAACTAGGGTTACAAATTTCTAAGACAGAGGAAGAGGCGTTTGTCTGTTCTATTTCAGCATTCATGCACTTGATCATTAAAATTATTCTAAAACGTGTTTTAATTCTGGGCTTACTAACTTTTGCCCACTAGCATACCTGACGAAGTACTTCCTGACACACGTGTTCTGCGAATGGAAAACAAAGTGTTCGTTTTTTTTTACCATTTGATATCGACATATAAAACATGCAACAAATCAAAGGTTGCAACCTCAAATATGTCAAATGAATTGTGCCTAACTTCCTTAAGTAAGAAAATAAGAAGACAGTAATAAGAAAATAAATTTCACTCTCTGAATTAGATTTCTACAGTCTACCATTTATTTTAGAAAAAAACCCAAAAATTAACTTTATGTAAAAAACTGCTTTTAATTTGTGAGAGAGAAAAACACCTAATTGTAATTATTTCTTTTGCCGCCTTCGTCTTTTACCGCCTTATGTACACATATCTTTGTCATTGTCGGAGTTTTAACATTTTTTGATAAAATTGTTCATTTCTTATCTGAGAATCGAATTTTATGTAGTCATTCATATAAAAAGTTATTGAATTAAATCTGTTACCGTTTAGTATCTTGGTACGAGATTGAATGACCACAAATGTCTTAACTACCGTAGAATTCTCAAATTTATTGTTGATTTAAGAATTATTTATTACAAATAAGGCTGTTGTTAAGACGCTAAGTGATTCTCCTTCGTATATAAGCATTTATTCTATTTATGGATGAAATAGTAGTGTATAGTCCTTTAAGTCAAGTAGACGGATAAATAAGAAGGGACATAGATACCAAAAAATCATTTTAAGAAGTTAAAATAAGAAACAGAATAAGTAATGTCAACAAGAAAGTTTATTAAAAGATTTTCCTATAAACCACTCCAAAAAGGATTTCCTTTTCTAAGTCTGTAAGTTAACAGTCTCGTTTTTTAAATAATGCAATTTAAAATTGCACGTTTTATCTTAAAAATTGTTTTGTATTTATTGAACCCAGGAAGTTTGCGTTGCTATGAAATTGAAAGAACGTGTCTTGCATAAGAAGTTGAGGCCGAATCTGCCCTTTTGTATAAAAACGTAAGATGGGATTTCCGTGCGAACAAAACGTGTTTACCGTGTAACCTAAGCTCTAGACCAAACGTTTTAAAAGCAATAAAAAAGTTTCAAAATGGCATATTTGAAAAATTCCATGCATGCTCATTCCAGTTCTTTTTATTTTTATAAAACAAATACAATAATTAATCACCATTGCAAACGGATTATTTATTTGACCATAGAGCTATTTTATCTATGATTTGACCAATCAAAACGAGATTTGAAACAGTAAGGAATTTACCATCATTCCCATTCATAGTATTCTTAAAAATAGAAATAAATGAATAAATAAATTATTGAATAAAAACGGACGAAACAATCATATAGTATTTCACATATTATAATATGTAATACATCCTGAAATTGTACCCGTTCCCACCAAAAAAAAATCTTTTAAACGTTCCACTATTACAAATATAGCACCGGCAAACTAAACAAATAGCACATGCTACCACGGACAAATATGATAATTTTTAAAGTTAAACAATGGTATAAAACAGGAACTACATTGTCTTTACAATAATAATGGTACATAATCACCTTGCATACATGAATTTCCGTCAATTACATCTTTGTAACTTGTCATAAATGTCACAACTAGGGTTAATGATTATACAGTTCGTCTTTCAACTGTCAGTCAAACTAAATACACAATTAAATACATAAGAAACATTCATAAAACATGTACGAACTAGGTCACTCACGAAAAAGATTCATTCTTAAAAAGATATTTAAAACATATTAAAGCTAACCAAGTCTGGGCGTCTAGTCTAAGCCATGATCTCCGATCTTATAACAAATCGATTTGTTCCCATTCTTTATTAAGTACACCAGTGCAGTCATAAATTTCCGTTCAGTGCCTGTACGGTGCACATAATTTTTTTTGGAATATGACAGTTGTTTTCCATTTGTTTGATCTGTTTTCCTTGGAGCTTGGTATTTTTGTTATTTTACCTTTTCCTTCATGTATTTGAGTTTTTTTACGTTTTTTGTTTGACAGCTACTAGTTTGAAGCATCTAGTTGTTTTTCACATGCCATTTCGTAAATGCTGAATAGTAAAACTTGTTTGTTCCAATTAAAAGTAGTCAATGTTAAGAAAGGGTTTTTCCGAACAGAAACACAATGCAATACCGATAACTACTTGCATGGATTGTTATATTTGGTTTGTATGGGCATTGTCTTTATTCTTTTAACGAACTTGAACGAGGAATTGCTTGAAAATTATATATGAACGTCCTATTAATCAATTTATGGTTTTATTGAATAATTTATAAAATAGTACAAACAATTCTTTTGAAATGGAAATACCTTATTGCAAAATATAACTTAAAATCATCAAACTCAAATTTAGAAAGATATGAGATACTGAAAAATGCTTAAAGTTTTTTCATGTATGTATGCAATGTAGTTTAAAATGAACAGTCTCTTTAGAAGGTGTTATCGCTTACACGCTTTTCATATACGACACTTTTCTCAAGGGGAACGACTAAATACATTTTTCATTATTTACGTCTTAGATAAAATTGCTAAGGGGAAAACGATATGTTATTAGAATTGATGAATCATATAGGTTCATTATGAGTCAAACGATTAAAACTTTGTCGTTTGACGTTACATATTAATGTATAAGATTTATACAATTGAAAATATGGTCAATAAAAATAAAACAGTGGTCATTTACAAATTCATTGTTTTTAGCCCTAAAATTTAGTGAAATTATATATATATCGTAAGAACAAAGATTCAGTGAATGTATCAAACTTAGGATTAGACAAGGATGCCCTTTATCACCCGAATATTTTAATAAAAGAAAACTAAGAAAATGCTAAATAATTGATTTGAGGTGAACTGATATAAAACAACTAATTCCGTTCCCGTTAATATGGTAAATTCCAGGTTACTTAGATATCAGAAGCATTATTAGTTTTACATACACATATACATATTTCTCAGGTGAAATAGCTAAGAAGAGTAATCATTTTATGAATTACTTATTGATATTGCATAATTCATGGATTGTACAATGTATGACAGAATACATCAGTTACACGTTTATATGGTGAATAGTACACGGCTGTCAAAATGTTTAAGTGATATTTAATTTATGATGATAAAAGACATGTATAGCATTGCAGTCATGTTCTAGTATCAATAAAAACTAACCATTTATGCCATTGTTGTGGGTTTTTATGATATTAACCATTTCCTGTTTTTATTATTAAAGATTATTTGAACGTCATCATCATGAAAAAGGTTCGAAATCTATGCATGATTTCCTTATTTGATGAATCTAAAATTTGTTAATATGAAATATTTGTACATATGAGATATTTACTCAGTAAAAATTATACATAAGAGTGGATAAGTTGAAGAAACTTTGTTTTTGAAAGGACTTTGAGATATTTGAGGTTAAGTTCCTACCAGCTAAAAGAAAATTCTTTTTTAAAATATCTGTAGATCAATAATATTCTGCACAATATTGAGATAATTGACATTATATCGGTACTGTCGTTCTTATTTATAGAACTGATGGCTTATTTTATTGAGTAAAAGTATAAAAAGAACGCATAGTTAATATTCCTTTCTTTTTAAAGAGAGACGAAAGATACGAAAATGATTATTCAAACTAATAAGGAGAAAAAAAAAACTAACAACGCCTTGACCAAAAAAAAAAATAAATAAAAAAAAAAAAAAATAAATAAACGACTTTAAGACAAGTAACGGTCTACAAATCACAGCACAGGAAGCTAAATATAAAAATAAGAAGATATGGTATGATTGGCAATGAGACAACTCTCCACCAGAGACAAAATGACATAGAAGTTAACAACTATATAGGTCATAAGCAACACGAACCCCAGCAAACACCGAAGGTGGTCTCAGATTTTAAAGTTATTTGACACTTTTTTGCACACAATTAGATTATTTCAAATTATTCATTATGCTCCAGGTGTCCGGTGTCAGTTCAAAACAGATCCATGCGATCATAATCTTTGTGGGGCTGGCGTTTGCCAGAAACAAGGAAACAGTTATATTTGTATTTGCCCAGATAATACTAGACAAAGGAGATGTAGTGACGGTGAGTAGCTTTTTAATTTATAAGTATTACATGTCCATGCTTTGTCATATAGCTAGACAAGACGATTTTCCCCTGTTGTACATTCTAGATTCATTAACCAGAAATTCGAAGTCAACAACTCATTTTAAAAAAATGTCATTTGTACTTTCGAAAAGGTTTTCCTAATTAATAACCGTTTTGCTTATCTTCTTACGAAACAAAAAGCATTTAAGGCTTTCAATATAATTGCAACGATATGGGGGTAGATATAGATCATACGTCTTTTCATTCATTACATAATTTTATATAAGTCAGTTGCATTCCAAGATGTTCTGCCTTATGCATCTTCTGAAAATATTTCTTTTAACCTCTCTGTAGGCTAATATTGTATATTGAATGATGAAATGATTTAACAATGATCTTTGTTCTCATATGAACTAATACAGGAATGCATGACTCCTAGTATAATTATTAATGATTTTATTAGAAAGTGTCAATCAATATTTCATATCTCCATATAACTTGACAATGAAAGGATTGTAAATTTTACGGACGCCATCACGAGTTGGTTGACCGTTATGGAATAACCGTTTCACAGATGATATCGGATATGTCCCTTATGTCGTAATTTCAATCCACTTCCTTTTTCACCACGAATGTGACCTACCGAATTAGACTATTTACCGTATTTGTAATAACATGAGCAACACGACGGGTGCCACATGTGGAGCAAGATCTGCTTACCCTTCCGGAGCACATGAGATCACCCCCAAATTTTGGTGGGGTTTGTGTTGCTTAGTCTTTAGTTTTCTATGTTGTGTCTTGTGTACTATTATTTGTCTATTTGTCTTTTTTTATTTTTTAGCCATGGCGTTGTCAGTTTGTTTTCGATCTATGAGTTTGACTGTCCCTCTGGTATCTTTTGCCCCCTTTTTGTACATTGAATGAAATAAAATAAGGCATTTTACATATTTCCAACTACCTTAAAGTGTACATTCATATTCATTTTTTAATACATTTTATTGAATACAAACAAAGGGGATACATTTGCATGTAAAATATACAGGATCACATACATGCACTTATTGATCTAATTTAAAATTAGCTTAGATTACCCCAGCTTTTTAGAAACGGGCGGTATGTAGTAATGGGATGTTCGTCCTTGCGTTCTGCATCTCATAAACTCCTAATCAGAAGTCAATGATTTTTTCTCAAAATATTCCCCATACAATACCATTATGCATCTTCTATTTATTTTTTTTTATCTGAACTATTTTCAGGTTTCCCTGGGTTACCTATTTTGTAATCGTTACTCCTCCTTACTTACTCATTATATTTGTTTAAAGTCTTAGAATCTTAATCTTAGATTTATCATTTATTTATCTCTTCTTTTGTTTTTTATATTATTTTTTGTTTTCCCCTAAGCAAATAAACTAATAAGATTTCCAAATTGATGTATGTGGGAGCATACGTAAGACACAAGCAGAAATCGTAAATCGAAGGTTGTACCCCTTCATTTGACAGATATATTGTACTATAAAAAGTAACATTGCAGTTGATTTCATTTTTTTTTCTCATGCTGGACTATATTTCACTGTCCAGGTTAGGGAGGTTTGAGAGTTTACATGCATAGTTAAACACAACAACATTCTTTATGTGCCTGTCCCAAGCAAGGGGCATGCAATCCAGGGGTTGTTATTGCTTGTTGTTTGTAATAATTGTTTTGCGTTTTTTATTAGTATTTATCAGCTAGTTGTTTTATCCATTTTGAACTTACTATACGGTATGAGTTGTCATCACCTTTTTGTTGACATGAATTATCATCATTGATATGGTCATTAATATAAATTACCTATTTACAAATAACTGAGGGTGATCTCAGGTGCTTCGGAAGGGTAAGCAGATCCTGCTCCTAATGTGGCATCCGTCGTGTTGTTCATGTTAGTACACACCCGGTGATAAGTTTAATTCAGTAGGTTATATTGGTAAAAAAGGACGGAATTGTAGTTACGACAATTGAAACATATCTTTGGAATTTCGGGTCCTCAATGCCCTGCACCTTCGTACTTTTTTGGCCTTTTAAACTTTTTTAATTCGATCGTCATTGATCAGTTTTTTGTAGACGAAACGCGGGTCTAGCATACACAATTTTCTTCCTGGTATCTATGATGAATTTATTGAAGTTAATCCATTTCCCCCTTCTTTGTAAAACACAGCTGAGGATAGACCCATTAAAAAGTCTAGCCATTAACCTTTTGTCAACAAATGATTTTTTTCATTTTCATTTTCATTTATTTTTAAAAGAGGGGCAAACGATACCAAAGGGACATTCAAACTCATAAGTCGAAAATAAACTGACAACGCCATGGCTAAAAAAGAAACAGACAAACAAACAATAATACACAAAACAACATAGAAAACTGAAGACTGAGCAACACGAACCCCACCAAAAACTGGGGGTGATCTCAGGTGCTCCGGAAGGGTAAGCAGATCCTGCTCCACATGTGGCACCCGTCGTTTGCTCATGTTAATACAAACCTGATAATAAGTCTACTTCGGTAGGTCACATTCTGGAAAAGGGGACGGGATTGTAGTAACGACATTAGGAACATATCCGCTATCATCTGTGAAACGGATATTCCGTAACGGTTAACCAACTCATGATGGCGTCCGTAAAATTTACGAACGGATGATTTCAACTTCAACACTTGGAACTATTGGTTTTAAGTATTACCATTTTGCTAATCATATAATGATACATTCTCAGTTCAGATGTTCAATATCAATGAACAGATATAAGATAGAATAAGATGTTCACAAGACAATGAGTTAGCAAATAGTTCATCTGTAAGTCATTTGCTTTACTTATTTGTTGTCTTAAAAAAACTTCCTTTAATCTCTCAGTAGCCTAATATTGTCTTTATTGAATGTTACAATAAGTAAACCAAATCTTTCTTTCTCGTATTAACTAATACTGGGAAACATGACTTTTTTATTATTATTAATAATCTTATTAGAAAATGTCAATCAATTTTTCATAAGTTAGACATATAACTTAGAATTACAATAACATGAATGTGCTGTGAATGAAATAAAACAGAGCGTCTTTTATAATTGTTTCATTATTCTCTCGTCTAATTTTAAAGTATATTTTATTGACTAAAGCAAATACGAATACCTATGTATGTAAAATTATCATGTTATCCATTTCAGATTATTAATTGATTTTAGTCTTAAAAAATTGAAAATACTAAAAACACAAACAGAAATAGATTATTCGAAATTATAACTTCATTAGAAAAATAGTAAAGCCTGTTTGATAGGCACAATGAATTTTCATGGGCTTTTTAGTATTCTAGTGGAAATGTGATGAAAGATGAACTAAACTTATTCATTACATCCGAGGTTTTCAATCACAGAAGTGTATAAGAGACATTTACCCTCAATGATTATAACAAATATGGAAAGAAAGGGTTGAAAGTAAAACAAAAATACTGTACTTCAGTGCAAATTAAAAAAGAGAAGTCCATAAAACTGACAAAATCAAACGCTATCTATCAATCAACGTAAGTGAAAGTGATAGAAAGAATAGCTAGAACCTTACAATTTATTTGAATAGACCAAAGCTGTTCTTTAATGTATTTAGAAACACATATAAAAACTACAATGTACTATGACCTAATGGGTTTCTATCAATAAGCCTGAGGTTGTGGGCTATTTATCCTCTCTAAACAACATATATGTCGTTGTTTCAGCAAACCGAGCCATGCAAACCATATGACATAATGAGATTATTTCAATAAGCCTGAGGTTGTGGGTTATTTGTCCTCCCTGAACAACATATATGTTGTTGTGCCATCAAACCAAGCCATGCAAACCATATTGTTACATGAATATGATGTTATTTTGTTTGTCTTACTAGAACTTGTAAATTACAGCAACACTGATAATCCTACTTAAACACTTACATCATTCAATTTAGATTCATGCCCAGATGATAGTAAATATCATGATAAAAGTGGACGATATGCTTGGCCAGAGACAAAAGTGGGATATTTTGCAAAATCAGTATGTCCACATGGCAGTACAACAACGATAGACGAAGTATTTCGTATGTGTCGAGTAGACTCTAGAGGACTACCAAAATGGGCGACACCAAGCACATCGCACTGCAAACAGGTAAGACTGTTTATCGTATGGAACGTTTTGGTTACTTCCTCAGGAAATTCATAAGAATGACAAAAGCCTAACTTAAAAATACTCACAACATATTGCATGATAGTTTCATATAGAGTGTAGACAAGCTTGTAATATTAGTTACATAATATGCTAGTGACCTAATACGATATATATGGGATCAGTAAATTCCATATGGGGTCACCAGCACACTATGTAACGAATTTATCTTACCGAATATCTTAACATTGGAATTTAGACTAGTGGCCTATCTAAGTGATCAAGATATCAATACCTTTAGATTTAACAACTTAGTTCCATTGGTCTATACAAAAACAAATGCCAACAATAACAACTTGTTAGCTTTAGATGTGTTTGATAAATTTATATCCACCGTTCATCATCAATTTCTTCCTCTGTTGAGACCTTTAAGATTTTTCCTCAACAAAGTGTTGTATAAAGGGACGTGACACCACTACTAACCGTGTGTTGAAATAAGCCCTGCCTACCAACCTAATATGGAATATACACGGTCTCCACGCGGTTGCTTTTAACCAATCATATTCCCAGAAATGTATAGGAGGTAAGATAAATATTAATAGTTATACATTTTTCCAACTATTTATCAATTTCTTTTGAATTCGTTTTATTCATCCTGCCAATTTTCTCTGCCATGAAAATGTTATTTTTTCGGTTTGAATTTAAGTTATCCTTTAAATGATGTATACAGAATAAAATAGAAGGACTTCAAAATTATCTTAAACTGTCATACATAAGTTTACTAAGTTACCTCAGTAAAATCGGTTGGAAAGTGCCTCGTCATTTTTCTTAATGACATATTATCAGTCTGGTATCTTAAATGAGTTTTGTAAATTATAGTTCTGCAAAGCCTTAGTTTGTCTAGAATTACTATTGTTTGAATAAATGATTGATCCTTAAACTTAAATTGTTATTCACTCAAATTTAAAATCAATTAGGCTTTAGAAATTAAAATATCAACTGTATCATAAAATATTAAGATAAAACGTATGCTATAGATTTCTGTGCGTTCTACACATGTTTCTGTAATATAGTTTTGATTATCAGGTACTCTTGAAACCAGCATATAAAACATTGGAGAGCATGGTAGTCGTTTGGTCCCCCACTGACAAGCAAATATCTGATATCAACTTTTGCTAAAATGTAAAAGTAGGGTATATCATGTTTGATTTTATAACTTTTTCCATTTTTGAAGACACCACAGTGGTTTCGTATTGCAGGTGATGCATGCATACCGGTAAGCATGTACCCTGTCGACGCACCAGATCTCTCTCTGGAGTTCACGCGATAACCTCCGTTTGTGAACATTTATAAACTATACAAGTACCTACTGTTGACTCTAGTTTAACTTATTTTCCTAATGGGTCTTATTCGTTTTTTAGAAAACATTTAGATAAATTGGTGAGACTGTAAAAAATATTTCATTACAAAAACATATTGTTGTATTAACACGGAAATACAAAGAAATACTATTATTCGCATTTAAACTGTCATTTTAATGAACAGAAAATTAAACTACCATGATAACTTAATTAGAATTATTTGTATAGGATGTAGCAAACAGATGATATAATTCATTACAAAAGTTGTTGCCAATGATCATCAATTTGTTTAATTATAACTTGGTGTAATACAAACCCTAATATGATGTAAGGCAATAGATAAACAATGTGGTACAAAGATCCTGAAGCAAAACAAAATGGAGACTTGTACCTAAGAAAACAAAATACAAAATACATAAATCATCTTACGAAATACAAAGTATTTGTATTAACAAGAAAGCAACAAGATTTATATTGTATAACGACAAATTTGATAGTAAAGAACAACAATATTTTCCTTAAAGGCCTTTTCACCTTTACATAAACCTGGGACAAAGAACTTACGCACACGGAAAACTAAACTTTCAATTACCCCACTCCTGTAAAGACCATTGACAAGAATAGGGCATTCATGAAATATTGCTATTACAGTCAGCTTACCAATAAAGCATTTATTAAGATTATTTTGAAATATACAACTAAATTAACTCCTTTGTTATGATTTTAACAATCATACTTAGTTTTGAAACGTGATTAATATTTGATTAGATTGTTAAGAAAAGTAGAAGGTGCAAATTCTCATGCTATACGTACTGAATGTTTAACATATCTGAAAGAAAATAATAACAATAAGGGTAATTATAATAAAAAGATAAATCATCAGGTGATATCTGCTTTTAAATAGTGATCTACCAGTAACTTCTAATTGAGAAGACAGAGAATCAAGAATATTTCAATGAAAAACAGCACGAAATGACAAAAAAACATTGTCGAATTTGAGAATATCTGAATAAAACTGTAAAGTTTTAGTGACATTTAGCTCATTATGTAGAAGTTTAACACGATGATAAACCCCGATAGGCAAATCTGCATACTTAAAGCAGACAGACACTGCAGCAAATAATTCTAAGAACAATTACAATTAGACATATCAAAGTTTACCCCAGACATGACCATTTGATAGTGTTTTTTTCTTCTTTATAAAAATATCATTACAACTGTACGATAGGTATTAAAGAACTATATTACTTGCTAATATAATAGTTTCTTTTATAGATCTTAAATTGATTAGGAATATGGAATGTATAATGATATTTACAACCAAGAATACATTATTATTTTTCATATTTCTTAACAGTTGACTGCATCTGAAGCTGATATGGCACTGAGAAATCTTGTTGCATACACAGGAGATGGCGTCCATCTGACGTCACAGGAAGTTGCTAATGTAACCAATCAACTTGAAGGATTAGCAGCGTATGCTGTAGACGATGTTAAGGTATATATATCATATCGTTCTCACCAGCTGTAAGAAAATCAAAGTCACAATTGATTTTTTTAATCGAAATTTTTTTGGTATATTTTACTTATTAAAGCCAGATGACAACTATATTATAATCTAGATTGTTAAGGGTGAAAGACTAACATTGTTGAAAAAAAATTCAATACTTGGAAATTAGCCTTTGGACTCGAAATAAAACAGGATTATTTATAATTCATGAATTCAAATGTCCCTTTGATATTTACCGCCTCTCTTTTTCAAAGCAGTTTGTGTCACTTTTGAGTTTTTTCGTCAGTATTTCAGACTTCCCAATGACTAATTTAGAGTTGAAAGTTGACATTAGATATATGTAAATTACAATATTGTATACAATTTACACACGCATTGAAAAAACATGTTTCAATTCTGTAGATTGCCAAAGACATGACCATGGTTATCAGTAACCTTCTCGAAGCCAGAGAATCGGTGTTGATAGAGAGTAACCATAACAACCATTCTAGTGAAAGGTATTGATCTTCCTGGCATATTTATCCTTCTCCTCAAAGTCGGTTATTATCTAGAATTTCGGCTAAGGACACAATTTAAACTACAAACGTTTTCAACTTGATTATCTGAGGTTTAACCCAAACTAACGAAACTGAGATATACACAGGATAACAAACTTGAGGTATAACACAGATTAACGAATGTTTTCAAATATTACTGGTGCATCATTGGTACTTGATTGTTTCTAACGTTGCATGGCGAACGCCCATTTGGGAGGTTGCTTAGACTATGTAACTAAAGTGACGAGGAAGGACCCGGGCGGTTTCAATAAATTGATTTCAATAAACAAACTTACAAAACAAAGCTTTATATCTATAATAGTTACAGAAATACTGGAACGCAATACCAATTTCTCTTGGGCAATAAAAGCGAGAGAAAAAAAGAAAACAGCGAATAAAACATCAAAAATACGAAACTGTTAAAGTGTTGATCTCAAAATCTATTTAATAGATAGATCTTTCTCTTATTACTAGTATATTTGTCCATATATCAACGTTTGACTCCAATACCAATAAGGTTCCTGAATGTTCATCCGGAAACCCCTTTCTACATTGCATTAAGTCTTTTTTTAGTGTCTGTGAACTAGACATAAGACGTGTTGACAACATAATCAATAGGTATATTTCTTTTATTGTATGTGACCATGTATCCAAGTTCGGTTATGTTTCCAACAAACTTTTACCCGGAAATCCTCTTTCTGCAATAATTTGGGTACATACTTAAGTATCTGATATCTAAACTCCAACATATTGACCTGAAAATCCTCATCTCAATATATGTTAAGTTAAAAGTATCTTGAACATTTTAAATATTTTGAACAATATCTCTCATTCCTAATGTATTTTTTTAGATTGGTTGAATTGTTGCACGAGTATACAGAAGATGTACCAATGAACACCAACTCAAATGCTACCATTGAGACAAAGAACATTAATATCATGGTTGTCAATCATTCATTAACCGATAATCATGAAGATTTTCACTACCAACCATATCTTTCGGAAAACAGCTCATTCGAACAGGTTATATTTTTTATTTGTTGATAAGATTGATTTATAAAAACGTATTTTATTGTAGCCTTTCAACACGTGTTGCGTGTATTACAACTTATAAGGTCTACTCCCAATACGTTATGAACAAAGTATAATTCCATGTTCGCATAGATCATTGAATCATGATTTGGTCGGAATATCTTTGTGGTGGACTGTTGGTCCTCGAGGGTATACTCAACTCAGTAGTCAGTGCTGCGGTATTGGTTAAATTATTTAGACACTAAGTTTCCAAATCCCTCTGGCAAAGTTGATCTTAGATGAATTTTGGTATTTTTCGGTCTCTTTTGGTCATATACACGTAGCTCATCACGTGTCAAGTCCCTTTGGTATCTTTCCCCTCTCTTTTAGATCTTATACATCATTGGTTTTCAGTGTTTGGGTTTGTACGTTCCTAATGAAGATAAATCCTGAAAAGCGTACGTAATTAATGAATTTTATTTTCATTTACAGCTGACCAGTGTTATCGTCCACTAACATTCATGAACACTCTTACACTTTTTTTGATTTCTGAATGAAACTTTTCACAGGAGTTTTACTTGCCATGAGCATAGAAATTGTTGTATAGTAATTAATACACTTCCAGAGCACTTAAATTTAACCACGGTCTTTGAAGTGGTTCGTCTTGTTTAATCTGTAGTTATATGTGCAGTATTTTGGGAAGTGCTATTTATCTGTTCGTCCATTTAGATTCCAAAAGTTTCAGTTACACAAATATTAAAAATAGCAAACTAAAATGAATTTTTAGAATGTTTTTTGTTAAGCAGCGAGAGACAAATTAAGCTGCAACAGTAACACAAAACTTAATGAAACAGAAGTACTAAACAGGAAATCATAAAAGAAGACGAAAAAACAAAGTACTTTGGATATTTTTATTTTTGTGAGTATAAATTTTCGTGGATTTAGAAAACTTGCCTTTTTGTGCATATTTCATTTCGTGGTTTTGACGGAGTCTGGATACAACCAACAGATAATTTTTAACTGGTGGAACATTTAAATTCGATATTCAATTATACCCGAGGAATCCACGAAAATGAGTACTCACGAATAATAATGAATCCACAGTAATAAGTTAGAGGCAACAGTAGTTAACCGATGTTCAAATCTCATAAATTCATCATTTAGATCATACAATTCAAGGTCAAAACCAAACACGAGGAAATAAATAAAGAATGAGCCCGTTTTTGTCGACAGTACACATCCCCCTATGAAATCATCCATATAACTATTTGACATACAATATATGACATACAAAATAAGTTACTATTATATTACCCAACTAAGGAATAGTGCAAACTTTCTATTTCAGACTGTAGATGCATGATTTATTATCAGCAGTAATTGCGAGTACTCTCAGATCTGTACTTAGTGTCTCTTTTTGTTGTTGGGATGTATAAGTGCTCTCAGATCTGTACTTAGTGTCTCTTTTTGTTGTTGGGATATATAAGTACCTTGCCACGTCCGGTCTGTGTTTTTGTTATATGTATTAATGCTTCGTATCGAACTGATGAGTAAAGAAAGCCCTTTCAAATCATTTTTATAGTTTGTTCTTATGTTGTACTGGTACACCACTGTCCAAGTTAGGGGAAGGGTTGGCGCCTTCAAACTAGTTTAACCCCGCCACATTCTGTATGTACCTGTCCAAAATCATGAGCCTGTAATTCAGTGGTTGTCATTTGCTGTTTTTCTTTCATCATTTTGTACATAAATCAAGCCGTTAATTTTCTCGTTTGAATTGTTTTACATATGTCATTGCGGGGCCTTTTATAGCTGAATATGCGGTATGGGTTATGTTCATTGTTGAAGGCAGTACGATGACCTATAGTTGTTAATTTCTATGTCATTTGGTCTCTTGTGGAGAGTTGTCTCATTGGCAATGAAACCACATCTTTAGATTTTTATATTGAGTGGCATTTAGGGTAGGTGCAAACTTCAAAAAGAGGAAACATTCTCAGTCACTGATTTGGTTATGCATGACATTATTTGTAGCAAATCTTGCTTTTAAACGTAATTTCTTGATAATAATCTGTTTGTTATATTTTCACAGGGTGGGGTTAGCATGATTGTGCCTGCGGATGTTATGCGACAGACAAAAGAATCCAACGTCCGATTACATTTCATAGCATACAGAACCTCAGCCTTTTTCATACCGGAAGTTGCTGCGCCAGAAGAAGTAGTGCTCAAACAGAGAGTAGTAACTGCAGAAATAAAAGGGAAAACTATAGCGAATTTATCAACTCCTATTAGATATAATGTTGTCAACATGGAGGTATGTTGGTTTCTTCTGCAAATTTGAAGTTAAAGTTTAATTCAAAATATATTGTAATGTAAAGAAGTATCAATGAACCATAATAATTCAGATAGTATATGGTAAAACAAAATTTCATATGCGTAATTTTGCAATTGATCAAATGATTATAGTGATAAAGCACCTTAACTCTTCATATCTTTGTCATTTTGGTGTATGAATATTTTTTTGATTGGCAATTATGCCACATCTCTTAATTTTTACACTAAATGACTTTTATGTCTTTTCTTGTTTCAGAATGGTAGAAATCATACATGTGTATACTGGAACACTACAGGTAAGTAACGAAATTTGACGTTTCACATTGTTATTTGAAAATTGGATTTATAATATGATATTATCTACTATAAATGAATTAAAAATTCAATGCATATTGTTTCATTTTAAAACTGATTCTAAATCATAACTATATATTTTTTTCGGAACGCTAAAATTTGAATATTCTTCCAGTCAATATACGTTTTGTCATTATTATAAAATTAACTGTATGACAACTCACTTTACATCCCTTAACTTCAACTGTTTTTAACTACTTAAGCGTTTTCATAACAAAACAAAATGAACAACAAGCATTGCCTTCAAACACAATAAAGATTAATATAGTTCAAACTGTATGAATTGAATATGACTTACAGTTATTAACTTAGGTCATAATGAAACATTAAAAAAACACCATTATTGTTGTCATAAGATACAACAATATGTTTTAGGTATTTTAAAACAGCATTTATTGTTTGGGTACATGATGGTAGTACTCCTTTAATAGTTTTGTAAATATTTCGATCAGAAGTCTGTAACTTCTTGCAGTAATTGAATTTATGATATTAATAAATAAAATGTGTTTTTTGTTCTCTCCAGACTGGTCTACACAAGGAGTATACACAGTTTCAACTGGTGGAAACAAAACAGAATGTCACACTACACATCTGACAAGTTTTGCTATCTTAATGGTACGATATTATAATTGGTTAATAATGTCAATTTTAGTTTTGATAGGCTGACAGTTGAAAGTTTGTTTTTTTGTATGTGGTTGCATGGGTAAAAAGTTTTGTGTAATGGATTTATGACTTAAACAGATAACTGAAATTGTTATATTATGCAAATTTATCTTAATTATTCAGAATACAACTTTTGCGTCTAGCGTACTAAATTATAGGACATATATCTTAAGAGTTTTTCTTGGACCATTCGGTACATCTCGTGTGACAAGAAAATAAGGCACTCAGTGTTTTGTACAAAATCAAGTTACATGTGTTAAAGTTTTATAGTGAAAGAAGGAATAAAGTCCGTATGAGAAATATCGCTTGTAATTTAGAATACTAGAAAAAACTTGTAGAAAAGTTTTAGAAACTTTGTAGAAAAATTAATACAAAAATTATTCTGTTATGATTTGAAATTTAGTTTATGTTTAAATGCACGTTGTTTAACCAAACATAAAGTATTTATGTGCTAAAATGTTCCATCTATTTTGAACATATGTGTACATAATTGAGCACATGCAATTATGTACACTTCAACATTAGCCTTTACTTTCTAAATACAATAGAACAAACACAAGTTTGGATACTGAATGGCACAGTGACCACCTTAAATTTTATTTTCCTAATACAATATGTATCTGATCTGGTTAAGTCCATCAAACTAAAATAATAAAGTCCATCAAAAACACAAGATACACTGCCTGACAGAATCTTGGACAATATCATGTTCTGCAACAAAATAATCTACAAAATAAATACAACACATTTAAATACTGTTCTATATAAAACTTAAATACAAATATTTTGTATACAAAAAAAAAAAAAAAAAAAAAAACAAACTTCTACCTATATATATGACGTGCGATTGTGTGGTCACTACCCAGTCCTCGATAACTAAAAAACCCGTGCAATTACCTTTTATACTGACCGCCAAACCGGTTAACGGCAATAGTTATACAACTTATACAAAATCCCCATTATAAAATTAATGCGCAATCTTTCAAATTCATTCCGCATACCGCACATAAATTCATATCTTCTTGTCCTAGGGAGGGATAAATCCTACTTTGTAAAAAATCACTCTGATTCAAACAAAAAAATCTCTGAAACTGACATTATCAAGATGCTTGATTTCTTGATTGACAACATATTTGTAGCGTTTGGAGGACGTGATTTTCAACAAACAATCGGCATTCCCATTGGAACCAACTTTGCCCCTCTTCTTGCCAACTTGTTCCTTTATTCAAATGAGGCTGACTTCAAACAGGAACTTCTTAGGAAGAAAGAAAAGAAGTTAGAAGTATCCTTTAATTTTGCTTTCCGACTTATAGATGATGTTCTCTCACTAAATAATTCATAATTTGGTGAAATATATATGTTGAACACATCTATCCCATCGAACTTGAGATAAAGGATACACCAGATACAGTTACGTCTGCCTCATATCTTGACTTACATCTAAAAATTGGCAATGAGGGTCGGTTGAAAACAAACTTTACGACAAAAGAGATGATTTCAGCTTCCCAATCGTGAACTTTCCATTTCTATGTAGCAACATTCCAGCAGCGCTTTCATGCGAAGTATATATCTCCCAGTTGATATGATATTCCAGGGCTTGCATTTCCTATCATGATTTCCCTGATAGAGGGTTGCTGCTCACAAGGAAGCTATTAGACCAAGAGTTCCAAGTGGTGAAGTTGAAATCATCCCTTTGTAAATTTTACGGACGCCATCACGATTTGGTTGACCGTTATGAAATATCCGTTTCACATATGATAGCAGATATGTTCCAAATGTCGTAACTACAATCCTGCCCTTTTCCCCGAATGTGACCTACCGATTTAGACTTATTACCGGGTTTGTACTAACATGAGCAACACGACGGGTGCCACATTTGGAGCAGGATCTTCCGGAGCACCTGAGATCACCCCCAGTTTTTGGTTGGGTTCGTGTTGCATAGTCTTTTGTTTTCTTTGTTGTGTTTGTGTACTATTATTTGTCTGTTGGTCTTTTTCTTTTTTTAGCCATTGCGTTGTCAGTTTATTTTCGACTTGTTAGTTTGAATGTCCTTTTGGGATCTTTAATCTCTCTCTTAGATAGATACATAATATATACAGATGTACTTTAACTTCGATTATTTCATATTCATTTAAGGATCCAGTTCCATCATACGAACTTGATGAAGTACATGACAAGGCTATGACTTACATCTCATATATCGGTTGTGCCGTATCTATATTTGGATTGGCTGTTACCATAGTAACATATAGCATGTTTAGGTAAGGAGCTGTTTTAAAAACTATTCAAATAATGAAACAGGAACCACTTCCATAAATATTAAATAACTAATTGCTTTGCTATTGCTAATTTCATTTACATAATTTTAAAAGTTTTTACAAGAAATAAAACCATTTTACAAATAGAATCGTGACCTGTAGAAAATTAAAAAAAAACCATTCACAATATATTGAATTTGCAAAGAATTAACTAAGCAACAAAATATTAATTTCTGTATGCTATTCTATTTTTTTTTTCTTTGTGTGCTTTACAAAATGTTCTTTGTATTTTAGATTCTTACTAAATTTTTTTTAAATTATTGTAGATCGTTGAATAGAGAAAAATCTAGCAGAATTCTATTAAACATGTGTGTTTCTATGCTTCTAATGAATGTAGCCTTTTTAATGATGGCCGAGACTACGAAGTCGGAAAGTTCTGCTCTTTGTACAACCATAGCAATACTTCTCCACTACTTCTTATTAACATCATTGATGTGGATGTTGACAGAAGCTATAAATATGTATCATGCTTTGATAACTGTATTCACAACATATTCCTCACAGTTCATACTGAGACGTTGTGTCATAGCATGGGGTATGTATAGTCATTTTCACCCTTCATAATATTTCTTTCATAATATTTTCTGGTCTGTACTTTGAAGTAAATCATTTAGTTTGAAAGTACTACGTTCTTATCATTAATTTCTCGAATGCATCTGCAAAACAAACATCAGGGTATCAAATACCTTTCAGTTTTTATCAGTACTCTTCACTTGTTATCTTATTTTCTTTTTTTATTAAAATATATTTTTTGATTTCTCAATAACGACACTATATTATGTATCGTATTGTAAGGAGGATAGATAGTGGTATCGTAAATGTTATTCCATCCATTATATATCCAAACCGAGTGAACGGCTTGTGCCTTATAACTTTACTTCTAACTGTTCTTGTGAACCGGATTTTATGTTTTTGGTTATATATAAAGGTGGACTATACAGTTGACTAATCGGTTGCATTTTTTGACGTAGTAATAATAGGTTTTGTAAATTCAGAGTTCCTAAAGAAAGCACTTCAGACGCATCAAATTTTTAAAGTGGTATAATCATCGTTTCTATGTATGTTGGCGTTTGTTTTTGTTGCAGTTCAGTGTTTCTGTTGTTCCGTTGTTTTCCTCTTATAGTCGATGTGTTTCCCTCGGTTTTGGTTTGTGACCCGGATTTGTTTTCGCTTAATCGATTTATGACTATTTAACAGCGGTATACTACTGTTGCCTTTATTGAAATTATTTGGTTTGACATATCAATACAGATTCAAAAGAGAAATTAATAATAAACCGAGATGCCCAACTCCTAAATTTTGAAAGCATTACGCGTGTAGTCTCGTCGAGCGACGTGTCCATACTTCTTATCAGCTTGCCCGGACAACTTGTAAACAATCGACTAGAATAATGTGAATGCCTGTACCAAGTCAGGAATATGACAGTTATTTTCCATTCGTTTGATATGTTTGAGCTTTTGATTTTGACAATTGATGAGGGACTTTCCGTTTTGAATTTTCCTTTGGAGTTCGGTATTTTTGTTATTTTACTTTTGAATGGTATTCTAAACCATCTACCGACAACAATACAATATCTGATCCAAAAGCAGCATTTTCCAAAAAATTGCATAAAAATATTATGTTGAATGAACCACCAAGGGAATTCATGATGTGTATGATTTAGATAGTGTTTGAAAACTTTATCACTTTATATTTTTAGGCATACCATTACTTGTTGTGGCTATTACTATGGGTATCAACAAAATGGACAATTATAACTCAAAAACGGATTTGTAAGTATCAAATTTTTGTAAAGAATCCCTGTATGGAATGCCATGCTTACTATATTGAGTGTCCGATGTTTCAGAGAAAATTATGACGACAACGACATTATCGTGATCGTGGGCTCTTGATATATTTTGGTAATCATTGAGACACATTGTAGTGTTAAAACTTATTTGAAGTGGGAAATTATCTTATTACTGGTATTTTTTCTGTTAATCTATAACTTCGTGGAAATCATTATAAATAAAAATCACAAAATGTTCATACAAGGGTCTCTGTATCTTGTTAAATGGTAGGGAAATGTCTAAAATCGTTTCTATGCTACTCATTTTTTTTACATCACAAACTAAAAAGAACAATGTTATACTTTTGAAATTTCAACAATAAATTAGGACTTATTGTTATACAATTCCAAAATCAGTAAATAAATACAATTCCAAAATCAGTAAATAAATACAATTCCAAAATCAGTAAATAAATATTGCATTTTTATGTCTTTCCTCTATTTTCAGTTGTTTTATATCTCATGCAAGCACAATTGCATTTTATATTGCCCTTCTTGGACCTGCCTGTTGCATTCTGATCATCAATACCGTCGTCTTTACTTTGGTTGCGAGGGTAATTTTAAAACCAAAGTTCAGAGGTCATCCAAATGGAGGAAGAAGGGAAAAAGTTACGCCTACTCAGGTTCGTGGGGCATTCACAGTAATGGTTCTTCTTGGAGTTACTTGGGTTTTTGGACCTGTAGCAATCAACGAATCAAAAATAGTTTTTAATTATATTTTTGTGGTGTTAAACTCTTTGCAAGGATTTCTAATATTTGTCTTCCGCTGTTTGTTGAATACAGAAGTGCGTTTATCCTGGCTATATCTACTGAAGACTGGAAAGTTCAAGAGAAGAAGAGGCCCAATACCATCCACGACAGATTCTTCTTCGTCTTCAAAAGCTTTACATGACTCAAAAATAAACAATTGTAGTACCATTGATAGCACTGTTGACACAAATAGTCCTCATAGTCCCCGAAATTCAGTTCTGAATGGCAATGGACGGGAAAGTAACGGGTTCAGTGAATATGACAAGAACAAAAATAAACAAAATGGGTTAGGACTAGACAACTTCACAAAGATATGAACTTCCAGTAGTATATTTTCGAAAGAAAAGATAGTTAAATCTGTCTCAGAAATCAGAAAAATGTCGCGCGTGAATTGTAACCGGTCGTTAATGTAGTTTGAAATATGAAGGAGACAGAAAATATAGTTCAGTTCTTTTTTGTAATCACCAATCAAAGTGAAAATATGAGCGTGTCAAACTGACTTGAGCATTAAAGATAGCAATACGTATTGACAATCAGTAATGAACTCTGACCTTATGTTAGTAATACGAGTTGTTGATTACGATACAGTTGGGAAAGACTTCATGATAATTTACCTATTAATTACATACTATACAATTTAACAGCTTTATTAAGGAAATATATGATAATAAACTATAGTTTATTCATAGTAAACAATTTTATTTAGCCAGTGATGCAGAACAGATATTTGATGATTGAAAACACAATGAAATATTATGGAGAATATAGCAGATGCCAGATAGACTTAGTAATAGGAATACATTTCCTAAGTCCCTGTCTTGCCAAATTGTGATATCTTGTAATATAAATTGTCCCTAATTGATAGATAGAAAAATCTTGTTTTTATTTTCTTTCCAACACATGCATGTTTTTGTTATCATTTGATTAGTGTTCTTCGTGTTTTTGTCTTTTTTTACCATTTAGATTTATTTAAATACGATTTTTTATATTTCATTCAAAGAAATGTGCATTATTTGAATCCGGCAACAAGGCATTGTTTTTATGCTTGTAGTTTTATGTATAGCTAAAAGATTTTTAGTTAACTAGACATCCATTGTAGTTGTAGATCAATTTGTGTTTTTCCTCCAGATGGCTTTCAATTCGTCCACTTTGTATTTGAGTCAATCAATACCCAGGATACTGTAAATTTGGATAAGAGTAATAATTAATATTTAATGATACAAATTATTCATAATAGACTGCACACAATTGTTATATGTAATTGCTTAACAAATATGTATGAAATATTGTACTTTTATGATAATTTATCTAAGTTTGTATCTTCTTGGGTGAACCCCTCACACACTCAGTAAATATTCTTATTGTGTGTCTCTGTGTGATCCAGAGTGTACCCTCTTATTCTGTAGATACCTTAATTCGATAAATGAAGAAAAAAATATTTAGAAATATATCCATTAATGTTTTGTCTACAGTACTATCAGTCATACGTTTCTATTTTAGATGTGTTCAAGAGACAAAAAAGTACTGCATTTTGGCATTAGAACTTTTGTTCGAGACAAAAAAGTACTGTATTTTGGCATTAGAACTTTTGTTCGAGACAAAAAAGTACTGTATTTGGGCATTACAGCTTCTTTGAAAATAACTCAAATAATTTATTTTTAGATATACATTCAATTATGAATCATTCGTTATCAGTCACAAATTTGCGAATTCTCGACACTTAATATGTTTGATATTATAACTGAATAACCATTTGCATATTTTCATACCCCTACATTTTTTGCATGCTGGATATTATATTTGAAATGTTTTCGAATTCAGATCATTATTTTTAATTGATGTATAAATAAGCATTTTTTTCTGTTTCATTCAATCATATGAATACTCAAAACAAATGATTCTATTTCTTTAAAATGAATTTAAAAAAATAACAAAAATAATCAATGAATGCATCCCATTGAATACAGAAGTAATATTTTGCTAATCAATATTACTCATGTGTTATTGAATTTATAGCTTACAGTGCTGTCAGCGTATTTTAAAATGTTCCTGCGTTTTGAACTAAGATTGGTAGTTGTAATTTTATTATCAAGGATAGAGAAGAAATGGAGTTTGAAATTATGGAAAATACATTTTGTTCTAGTCTGGTGAAAGTAGATTTTTCATTTTATAATGACTATCGATTAGTTGGCTATTTGAATTTAGCCACTGTTTTTATATCCTTTAAATTATAGTTACTTTTATTTTTTTAAAGAAAATCATACCATGTGCAATATTTAAGTGTTGTTTTCTTTTTCTATGAGAAAATATAAAAAACAAACTTCACACAAAAAGATGTTTGATACTTTCATTACATCACTGGTTAAAAAAAATTACCTAAAATTATAAGTATAATTAAAAATGTATTTATGTTCAAGTTTGTAAAATTGAATCAAAGTGACATTTTACAGAATTTATTAAAATTAATATATTGTATGCAGATCTCACACTTTCAGCGTATCTTTCATATTTATTATTTATATAACGAGACATCTACAAATCATAATTTCAGTTATGCAATAGAAATCTATTTAGCACATCAACCGGTGTATATAATCGTCATAAACTATTAACTATTTAATTAAATTCACATTTAGCATGTTTATGCACAGTCATGGTGTGCATCTACTACTTGGGTATGTTTAAGTCTAGGCTTTTGATCCCTTATCTCACCCTTTCATTTATTTTCCATGTTGTGCAATCATACCTGGTCTGATAACACAATTATCACCCTTAGATGTGGGTGTCTACAATGTTGTCTTTAGTGTGGACAGTGTATTATATGTTATTATTACCAGCACCTTCCGATTTTATTTGTTCATGATAAATGCATACAATGCAAGTAGAGGATAAAATTGTATGTTAAATGATTGGTAAAAAGGTTAAGTAGTGATTTGTTCCAGTTTTTAAAAATAAAAAATAAGTAGGCCTGCTGGTGTTAGATTGAATTCAAGGCCCCTTTAGCATAGCGTTGTCTATATTTTGATTTAGAGACGATGAAGTTTTCTCTAATTTTGATATAATGTGTCCTAAAAGTAGTAAACTGAAGAAAAAAATATTTAAAAAACGCATTGATTTTTTTTAATTGTATAATATAGTTCTTTAAAAATACACATCAAATTTATTGTGTTATCAGATCAACTATTCATGTATGTTAACATAACTAAAATAATAAAAATATTATCTATGTGCTATAATAAACAATTAATGTTTTTCTATTTACCTTGTCGTTCGAATGGAGACGGAAGATAGTCTTACGAAGTGAATTTTCATTTGTGATATTTTGGTAACCTAATTGAACTATGACTTCTGACAAACAAGTTGACATGAATTCAAAGCAGTTTTTTTTTCTTCATATTTACTCATGTTGTTTTCTGAAGAAATTGTTAAATTTCTTTATTTCATTTCATCTTTTTTTCAAATCCAATCTAAACATTTATCATGCTATCTTAGTTTTCTACGCATCATACTTTTGTTTAGAAAGTATTTCTTTGTATCGTCTATAGAAAATTTTTATCTATGCCCAAGGTATCATTTTCATTATTAGTTTGATAAGTGCATTCTCATTAGTGTCACCTGCATTCGATGTTATCGTATAATTTATTGTTATATACTTAAACATGTTAAAATACAATAAAATATCATTGTATAGAACTGTGTTACTAAACTTATTAAAAAAAACTGATATAAAACATTCAGTCAACAGGTTCTTGGTTTAATTTGCAATTACAAATTTTACATTTTATGGCAAACAGAAAAGGAATTAAGTTTGTAACCCAATTACTGTAACAAATTTAATTAGAGTGACCCTTTTCTCCAACATATAGGTATTAATGATTTCCTTGTCATTAGAGTTTTCAAATTTATAGGTGTTGATGTTATTTTCAAATGCTTCGTCTTGTAGATCAGTACCTCACCTAAAAACTACTTTATATAATGTCGGATTTAGTATACCTTTTCACCACGATCTCCAATTGTACAGATGTTGTTGATTTACGGAAATGGTCACAGGCTTTGTGTCATAGAATGTTAACTCATATAAAAACTAATGTAAGTGTTTTTAGGAGATCATCTTGAATTATTTTTAGTTTATATATAACGTTTACGGTTGGTGTTTATGTTTGTCTCCTTTAGGCAGTAAACTTGTAGAAGTTAATTTCAATGACACTCTATATTTCTTACGACTTTATGTATTTGAACCTTTCTGGCGACTGAAGTTGACAACTCGACCCGGCTGAGATTCTACATGTTTCTTTTGTATTCTCGTTCAATTAATTAAAAACATTTTTCGAATCTGTTGGCTATCTTGTTAGCCCGCGATACATACAAAAAACAAATATAGACCATCATCTATATAATTGTTTGACTGAATTTGTCGAAAAAGAAGAAGAAAGATATTTGCATTTTACGGTAAAGATCAATGCTAATATAAGTAAGACATTTACAAACATAGGAAATACTATACCTAAAAACATATTCAGACTTCTAATAGTTTAAATGCCAGAATATTGGTATGTTTCATTTTTAATATTTCTCACCCCCAAACTATTTGTAACGGTCAACCTTTTAAAACCTGCAATTAAGAAAAGGTGAACTAACACAAATTTTAATGCATGGTACCTACAGATGCAAAAATAGTAAAAATATTCAGACCTTTAAAATTGAAATTTGAAATGTTTTATATATAAAAGGCTTATGAACTCTAGCCACGTGAATACAGCAATATCAATTGTGATATTACTGATATGCCATGCATGTAAACATTGTCGAAATGTGCATCTGGTGCAGAAGACTTGATACCGTTTATGTTATTCAACCTGAAGTGGCCATTTTACACATATCAATTGATGTAATCAAATATGTGGAACAGGCTTTACTCATCAAAGATATTTTACTCACAACAGCATATTTATATAAGCCACATTGTGTCAAAATATCTTTTTGAGTAAGGCTCATGTCTAAATATAACTAATAAATCTTCGACCAACTTCTGCGGTTTTTGCAGCATTTCCTTAAACGTAACTATGCAAGAAATTCAAAATATTAAAAGGCCCAAAAACAGAACTAAAACATACTTTCTTTTTAGCAACATACACATATAAATGCTGAATACAATTAGAAAAACGTTTTTGCCAGGTCCATGTACATAATAACTAAAAGAATAGTATAAGCTTTTTTCTGGTCTCTTCAACCTCGATTTTACTTTAAAATTGATCTTACATGTGTTCTGTTTCTCTTTCCGATTTGAATAGCATATATATATGCGTCACACCTCTGGTAGTGCATTCTAGAACTATATTCTTCAAGATCAGACACGCGCTTCTGTAGTTCCTTGATTTTCATGAAAATTGCATATTTTGGCGATTTGTCTAATATTTCTTCACTTCTAACACAATGCGATTTTGACATTCATAGTTCAGAATGAAATTGGTGGTTAACAGTTTTCCGCAAAACTTACATAGACAGTTGTCCAAATTTCTGTTCGGATAGGTAGTTCTATATCCTGACAGCCGGTATCTCCAGTTTCCAACAATAATTCAGGTTTTCCGCGTATGTATCGTTTTATTGCAGTGGAAATCGGCTTCACAAGTAGAGCTAGGTATACGATAGATGTATTCCCCGGGTCCTCCATCAAAATATAGCCGGTTAAATTGCGTTCCGACTGCATGAAATCATATTTCTCGCTTTCAATTTTTAATTTAGCAGTCCGGCAAGAGCAAACAACAAACTCCGAACTAAATATAATGTAACATATATCAACAATAACAATATATACTTTTTCCAGATGCACCCATCAATAAATACCATATTTCAACTTTTAATTAAGCAGTCCGGCAAAAGCAAACAACAAACTCCAAACTAAATATAATGTAACATATATCAACAATAACAATAAATATTTTTCCTAGATGCACCAATCAAGACATACAACATAAGTAATGTTTAACAGTATAATATGAATTTATTCAATAAAATTGAAGAACAGCATGCATACAGGTTTGTGAAAGAGTAAGACTAAAAGTGACTTCTGCACTAAATACCAAGGGTCGGTTCGTCTCTTGGTTTTGACAATTAAGTTACCATATCAGTTTGTTAGATTTACGGAGATACTTGAAATTGATACATGAATAATTAGTTTTAAGACAGAAAGACAGATACCATAAACATACTTATGTATACACAGGCCAGAGTCTGATCTTGTTTCGCTATATGATATAAAAACTAAATTGACGAAAAAAGGTCATTTATTAAAAATCATAAAATGCAAAAAAAATACATTTTGCAAATAAAACATTTGACATAAAAGTTAATTATTAATATGAAATTATAATACATAATTAATACGAAATTACATCAACTAAAATCATATCAGTTGAATAAATGACAAAGAATAGCAAAGGTGAAAAATCTGCCCCACTCATAAACATATACACACATCCACTTCTAAAGATAAAATTAATGGAGATATGCGAAGGGAATTTTTCACAAATTGTTTGATAAGAATTACAAGTTAACAAGTCAATAGCTGATGATAGAAGGAAATGCCCACAAAGCACATGCACGCGAGCATACACGTGAACTCGTGCTGACCCCGCAAGACAATTGCCCAATAAGACAGATGTAATCAAATCATGTATTGGTCAGTAGCGAAATTTCTCTACACGTGAAAACATGTTATCTAATTTCAACGACATATCGTTTATTTTAAACCCCGTTTACACTTGTAAAAAAGATCGATCTTTCCTGAGATAAAAACAGATTGATCTTTAGTCTAATGTAAACGAGATAGATCGATCTTCAATCGGACTAAAAAAGTCCACCTCCAGAGGTGGTTTTAAAAAGATCGAACGTTCTTCAAGTGTAAACTCTTAGATCGATCTTTCTTCAGTTGAATGTTATATTTAGAGATGAAAATAAATCTGTGGCAAAAAAGACGTTTTTTGATAAAGATGGATTGGATAAGAAAAGTAAACATAGATTCCGCCGTTTTTTTTTTTATCATTCTTCTGAATCTATAAATTCTATTTCTTAGCTGCAAATCCTCATCTTCAAACACAGTGACCGAATGACTTCTGACGTATTAACCAAAAAGATAATTAAATAAATGCATACGAAATTCCAATGATCCAACTATTTTCTCCATGATTTTGCAGTGTGTGATCGTCCGCGTGAGATGCACACGTTATTGTATCATTCTATATTTACGATTAGTTGTTTACGAAATGTAAAGTAATTATGTCAGACCGGTTCTTTTTAAGTTGCAGTGTAAACGCACTAGATTAAATAAGATCGAACTCGATCGATCTTGCTTGTGCGTATGTAAACGCAAATTGGTCCTTTTAAGATCGATTCAAACAAAGATCGGTTTAATTTCGGAGAAGTGTAAACAGGGTCTAAGTTTGACAAATCTAACCCATTGACCAGTAGAGACATCATAAATTTACAGTATAAATAGCTTCCTCTTTATTTAAGTCTGGGTAATAAACAATACAGAAGTATCTTCCCTGCTGTCTTAAATGATTTTATTCAGCTATTCAATTAGCAAATAAAATTGGTTTTAAGACAGACAGACATATACCATAAACATACTAATGTATACACAGGCCAGAGTCTGAGCTTGTTTTGCTATAATATATAAAAACTAAATTGACGATAAAGGTCATTTAATAAAAATCATAAAATGCAAAAAATACATTTTGCAAATAAAACATTTGACACAAAAGTTTATAATTAATATGAAATTATAATACATAATTAATACGAAATTACATCAACTAACATCATATCAATGAAATAAATGACAAAGAATAGCAAAGTTGGGGAGACAAATCTACCACAAATCCACTCTTATGTTGAAAGAGTGGCTCCCCCACCCGAGGACTCTGGCGACGTGAATACAATTTATATAATTTGTTACAATTAGGAAGCATGGCAATCACATACACAAAAATAATAACGCTATATATATGTAATACGTTTCCACATTGAAATGAAAAATTAAAAGTTCATATAATTATAAACCTACATATATCATGTATATTACTTTTAAATTATCTCTTGCTGATAAACATGATAAATGATGTAAATCTTATTCCAGACAGGACCACAGCACTAAAGTTACAATAATCAACATTATTTAGTATATTTATTCACATTTCGTCTTACATCTAGACATTTAATAACATAATCCCCTAAATATTATAGTACACACAATTTGTATTAGTGCAGTAATAAATTACCCAGAAACACTTTTGTCTCATTTGAGAGATCTGAAATATCGCTCCATAATCATTGTATACTGGACAAATTATAATAAAATGTTGTTCATCTTTAATCTTCAAACAAAATAAAAGTACATTTTTACAAAGCCCTTTCTAGATATGAAGTTTTATTTCTGACTCCTTCTATTATGGGATCATGGGCACTGATTCTCATTTATATTTGGGATTTCTCAATCTAAATTGTATAAAGATAGATAGATTTCATAAGGAAAAAAAGTTTTTAGTTTGAAATAAGTAAATAAGTATCTAATTTAGAACTTGTTTACTCTCAGTCAATTTTTGTTGTGTTCGCAATTGATAGAAAACTTTTACAAAGTTTTTGCTTAACTGATGACTTGATAAAAAAGTTAAGCTTTACATCTGAATTCTAAATATTCAGCTTCTTAGAAATTTTATGAATGGATGAATACCAGCATTCGAT